AGAAATGTGCTTCTGCCTTCAAATTTCATCTCAGTTAATAACCAAGAAAGGCTTCTGTGTGGAAAGGCTATGGGTTTTTTTTTTCATTTCATGCAAGTTTATTTTAATATAAAATTATTTAAGTCACTTTGGTCCCAGCATGTCCTTGGGTTTCACCCACTTATCAAACTGCTCTGCTGTGAGGTAGCCAAGCTCAACTGCCCTTTCCCTTAAGGTTGATCCTTCCTTGTGTGCAGTCTTGGCAATCTTTGCTGCTTTGTCATACCTGATATGAGGATTAAGAGCTGTCACCAACATTAACAACTCATTCATTAGCTCGTTGCTCCTCTTGGCATTGGTCTTGGAATTCTTTTTTTTTTTTTATTGATATTTATTGAGCTCTACATTTTTCTCTGCTCCCTTCCCTGGCTCTTCCCTCCCCCCCTTCAACCCTCCCCCAAGGTCCCCGTGCTTCCAGTTTACTCAGGGGATCTTGTCTTTTTCTACTTTCTACTTCCCATGTAGATTAGATCTATGTAAGTCTCTCAGTGTCTGCAGTGTTGTCTAAATTCTCTGTAATTGTGGTTTGTAGGCTGGCTTTCTTTGCTTTATGTTTAGAAACCACCTATGCGTGAGTACATGTGATAATTGTCTTTCTGTGTCTGGGTTACCTCACTCAAAATAATGTGTTCTAGCTCCATCCATTTTCCTGCAATATTCACGCTGTCATTTTTTCTGCTGTGTAGTATTCCATTGTGTAAATGTACCACATTTTCCTTATCCATTCTTCAGTCAAGGGGCATTTAGGTTGTTTCCAGGTTCTGGCTATGACAAACAATGCTGCTATGAACATAGTTGAGCACATGTCTTTGTGACACGATTGAGCATCCTTTGGATATATACCCAAAAGTGGTATTGCTGGATCTTGAGGAAGGTTGTTTCCTAATTTTCTGAGAATCGCCACACTGACATCCAAAGGGGCTGTACCAGCTTGCATTCCCAACAGCAATGCAGAAGTGTTCCCTTTTCCCCACAACCTCTCCAGCATAAGTTGTCATCAGTGTGTTTGATCTTTGCCATTCTTACAAGTGTAAGATGGAATCTCAGAGTTGTTTTGATTTGCATTTCTCTGATGACTAAGGATGTTGAACATTTCCTTAAGTATCTTTCAGCCATTTTAGATTCGTCTGTTGGCAGTTCTCTGTTTAGGTCTGGACTCCATTTTTTTTAAATTGGATTATGTGATCTTTTGGTGTCCATTTTCTTGAGTTCTTTGTATATTTTGGAGATCAGTCCTCTGTGGGGTTAGTGAAGATCTTTTCCCATTCTGTAGACTGTTGTTTTGTCTTGTTGACCGTGTCTTTTGCTTTCCAGAAGCTTTTCAGCTTCAGAAGGTCCCATTTATTGTTTCTCTCAGGGTCTGAGCTGCTGGGGTTATATTTAGGAAGAGGTTCCCTGTGCCAATGCGTTCAAGTGTACTTCCCACTTTTTCTTCTATAAGGATCAGTGTGACTGGCTTTATGTTGAGGTCTTTGATCCATTTGGACTTGAGTTTTGTGCATGGTGATGGATGTGCGTCTTATTTTCATTCTACATGCTGATATCCAATTATGCCAGCACCACTTGTTAAATATTCTTTCTTTTTTCCATTTGATATTTTTTGCTTCTTTATCAACGATCAGGTGTTCGAAGATGTGTGGATTAATATCCGGGTCTTCTATTCTTTTCTATTGGTCCTCCTGTCTGTTCTTATGACAATACCAGGCTGTTTTCAGTACTGTAGCTCTGTAGTAGAGTTTTAAGTCAGGGATTATGATGCCTCCAGAAACTCTTTTATTGTACAGGATTGTTTGGCTATCCTGGGTGTTTTGCTCTTCCATATGAAGTTGAGTACCGTTCTTTCGAGGTCTTTGAAGAATTTTGCTGGTATTTTGATGGGCTTTGTGATGAAGAAAATCAGTTATGTCCTCTTTCACAACCCATGTTCACTACCTGTTTAAACCCTTCTTCATCCCCTAATAGTTAACCTTTATTCTTTTTCTCATCTACATAGTTTATACACATACATATTTCTTCACATATGAATAGTACATGTGTTCCTGTCATGCATTTATGGTGAACTACATTCTGCAAGTTGGAAAAACTGATTGAACATGTTATCTGTGTTTATACAGACACCTTTATACCTGGAGATAAACAATGATTGTCTTCCTTGGCCGTAGGCAGCCTGCTAGCTGTTGTTAATCACACAATGTCTTCTTACTTGTTTTTTGATCTTCTTTTCCCCGTCTCAAAGTAAAGGGCATGGCTAAGGACAGGAAATTTAAAAGACCCTTCGAGATTCAGATGCTTGGGGCTGATGTGGGGACACCAAATCCTAGCCTCAAAGACATATGTTCATATATGTGTAATATCAGCAATACTCTGAAAGCAATCATTTCTATGTATTTAAAAGTAAAAATATAAAGAGGAGTAGTCAGGCTGTTGGGACAGAAAGCAAGGCAGACCACAGTCATAAAGCAATGGAATCTCAAGGACAGAGGGAATGCCCTATCACAGTTAGAGGAAACCATCTTGAAGACCTATTAGAAACAGCTGGCATTAGGGAGCAGTATAACTTCTCTAGCTGGAGAGCCACACAGCTAAGGAGCCCCCCAGCATAGAAAAAGTGGTCCCACACCCCATAGCTACTGTGATTCGGGCAAGGGCCTGGAGACAAGAGACTGGGTCATTCGAAAGGAGATCAGCCGAATGCCATTTATTCAACTTTGGGGAAATCCTTATATACCTAGCTACTGTACAAGGATTTCCCCCCCCCAGGCAGGTGGGAAATTACCATACCAAAGATGAAACAATGCCCTGCAGCTAATCACCAGGCAAGGCAGAGGGAGCACAGGAACAAACAGGATGTTTTAGCTGGCTGACCAGAAACTGTCCTCAAGTAACCCCAGGAGCAGGGGCAGATCCGGGCCCTACACTATGGTGTACCTGACTTCAAACTCAGTCATCCAGGATGCATGACAGTCCACTTGAGGAGATCTCAAATGCCTTAAGAGACAAACTTCTGCTAATGTCTATCAACGAAAGTTAGTAGTAGATCATTGAGGAAAAGAAGATACTCTCTAAGTGTGGCTGGTGACTGCTCTGAATCTGTGCTTCCTGTTCCCATCATTCTCTCTGTATCAGGTTGTCTCATCCAGTCTCTTCTTGCCCTGCTACTGGTCAATCAGTTTTTCATTAACAATGAACATAATTCAAATAGGGATAAGCACTTGTTTGAATTACAAAGCCAAGAGACTTTGGGCATTGACTGTCTTTCCTAGGAAGAGATGAAAGTGAAACTTTCAGGGGTTTCCAGGGTAGAAGTTATGGTGTGTAGTAAGGTATTTCATTGTCAAATTCCAATAAGATTATTTGATACTTCTTATATCTTTTAATTTTAGAAATTAGCATTTTTTTCTGTCCAGATTTTGAGAAACTGAGATACATTCGAGACAAATGATCCGACCTTCGAAATACTCTCACATAGAACAAATTTCAGTATTAGAGAAGGAAAGGAAATTGAGCACAATAGATCAAACCTCTGCAGAGGGAATTCTAACCATGGATAATGGGCAAGTTGTCCTTGCACACGCCAGTTTAAGCCAGGAACTGTTTCCTACCACTCTGGAGAGGAGCAGGGGATGTAAGCATGAACTCAGCATACCTGGTGCCAAATATACACCTGGGTTTGTGAAAAAGAACACACACAATGCAACAAAATAAAACAAACAAAATCACCAGGGTAATATTCTTAAAATTCTAGTTGAACTCTCATAAAAACTGAATTTATTACATAGATTAACAGTTGAAAGTTTCAAGGGACTTAAGGACAGGTCGCAAATCCTGAGACAGATTATGAAGTTCTTTGGAAGTAAATGTCAGAGGGTTGGTTGAACGTTAACCTTGTTCAATGATTGTCCTTATGTCCCTGAAAAACCTCCTACACTGAAGAATTTCCAGTGTTCCCAGGAAAAACTGTTTTACAAGCTGTGGAGTCGGATCCATGTATGAACCAATCTGAGTCAGTACAGAGGTACATGGATTATTTATATGCAGGACTACGTATTAAGACAAAGCCTAAATCATACTCAAACTTCTTTACCAAGACTATCTTATTTATATTGTTAGTTTTAAAAGTATTTTGTAATTCTTGTTCTTATTTCTGTTTTTTTTTCCTTTTCTTTGTTTTTAGTTTTTTTCTTTTTATTTACAGAGAATGTCCCTAAATTTCCAGACCAGGTACGGATCATGTCGTATTGTCATAAGCCTCTGAGCATTTGGAATCACATTTAGGTACATTAGGACTGATTTCATAATTATTCTTAAAAGATACTTTTTGTTCCCAAGTTAGTGTATTGTGTATTCTTACTTTCTTGTCTGGACCGCAAGGCCACAAACAATGACAGAGAGACTTATTATTAATTATCAAAGCTCGGCTTTAGCCTAGGCTTCCCCCCCCAACTAGCTCTCACTAGCTCTCATAAGTTATTAATCTATATTCTGTCTCATGGCTTTTTTTTTTTTTTTACCTGTCCACCATTCTGTATCCCTGGCTTGGTCTGCATCTTGCTGACTTCTCTGGGCAGCTAGATTCATCTCTTCCTCTCCCTTCCCAGAAATACCACGTGTCTTCTGCCGAGTTATGTGCCATTTAACTCTCTATTAAACCAACCAGAAAGTGCCCTGAATAAGACAGATCTTCACAGTGCACAAAAAGATTACCCTACACAGTATTGTCTGATCATTTTAAAGTACAACCGATTCAACATGATTTTTAACGCTGCAGTAATATTTCTAATATTTCTGTCAAAGTCTTGACTCCCATTCACACATGTTGGGCTGTGGATCTGAAAGTGCACTATCAAACTGCTTCCCCATGGCTGTTTGAAACCAAATCAGTAGCCACCTTGTTAAGAAACCACATTTTGATACATTAAGTCTCCATACCTTGTTTTTGTTTTCAATCTTTAATGTACCTAACAAAACAGGTTTCAGCTATGCTGAACTTGTGCCCCCATGAGGTATGCCCACCGTTTGCCTTGTAAGAATAACCTGTGATATGATTGCGCTTTTGCTTTAGGAAAACATTTTTCCAGATACCTTGATGATAAACCCCGCTCCACACAATGTATTATTGAACTTGTTTTTTCTTTTATTTCCTCCTTTCTAACAGCCAATAACATGGACAGCATGTTCTTATGTTTTTTGTTTTAAAACTCCAATCCTTCCCACAAAAAGGCACCTAAAAGGGCAATGAGGGCTGCTCTCTGAAATACGGACGCTGGGAGCAAACGTCTACTGGCCTCTTCCTGGTGCTCCTGAAAACAAAGCTTGCTTTAATCAGACATTCGAACAATTCGTTCCTCTCAGGCCTAACAGCTGTCCAGCGTACTCTGTTTCTTCCTCCCACACCCAACTGCGTGTAGCCAAACACAAGTCCAGGAAGAGTAAATATCATCCCTCAAGGATTGCAGGGATTCCTTCGCGCAGACTTCTGGGAAATGTAGTCCATCTGACTGTGACATCACGCGAAGACGTCCAGAAAAGCTTTTTCCGGCTTTTGGTCTCCACACGTGCGACTTCCTCAAAGTTGGGCGAGAGTCCCGCCTGCTGCCCATTCCTGTTGCGTCTCTGATATGGAGGTTGGTCCAGGGTGCAGCGCTGCCTGTGGCCCTGTGCAGGATGCGGGGCCGTCTTGGAGGGAGCGGACCTGGGCTGGGTGGGAGGGCGGGAGAAGCTGCCTTGGAGGTGCTGTGCTCAACTGGCTGGGACGCCTGAGGTTGCAGGTCAGGGCTGGGGTGAGGGCGACAGGGACTGTGTCCTGAGCAATGGTTTCCTTAGGACGCCACGTGCAGCCCGAGTCCGCCTTGGGCTTCTGGGACAGGAGAGCTGCGCGGAGTAGATGACAGTGCAAGGTCCAGGTTTGAAAGCTAAGGATGGTCAGCTGACTGCCTGCTCCTGAAGGGGAGCTGGGAGCTCACTGAGCAGCTTTGGTGGGAAGCATGCCTCACTTCTGACTCATTCTCCCAGGGATGCTGTGAGATTTCTCAGTAACTTTAGACCAAACGGTTTCTGACTCCTCCTGTACTCTGTAGCCGGTCTGCTGTAACGGATTTGAGGTCTTGATTGTGCCCCCCCCTTTTTTTCTTGCCAGTAAAGAATTAAGAGAGGAAAAACCCGAGGCTCCAGAAGTCACGGGTAGGAAATTCCGAAACACGGACAGATATTCCAGAATCAGCTGCTATAGAAAGCTGTGACTAGGGTGAGAGAACACACATTCTGCAGACGTCTGGAGTGAGAGACCCCGTGCAATGCAGAATGGGGACTAGGAAAACTTCTGTGTCAGGTCCGCAGGTGAGGAGACCTCCCAGACCTGTGTGTAGTCCTGAGATTTTAGTAACCAGACCTGTGATAGAAGAGAAACGTCAATCTCCTCTGAGGCACATCCCTGTCATCTCTGCATTTGTGAGGGGAGGCAGGGCCCTCTGGTCCTCCCCTGCTTCATAGCAAATTCCAGGCCAGCCTAGGCTACCTGAGTCTGTGTCAGAAAACATTTAAACATACTTCATGTATGGGATAGTGTCTATCCTTAATCTCCTGCTCATTACAGTGAGCACCGTGACAGATCCGTGCAGCCAGCGCTTTGCTGGCTGAAGAACTATTTCTGTCTAACTTCTGCTGACCCAGTCCAGGGGTAATTTCAACTTTTGTCACTAACATGTTTTTGTTAAAGACATTAAGTTTTGGTGATTAGACAATTGTTTGCATTTACTCTGTAAAGAATTCTCTTTGCCTTGCTTGAATATTCCTATATGCAATGAATGTTCGTTCTTTTGCATATTAATCTGTGTTAGCTGCTCTCATAACCTGATGCAACTTTCTTCTGGTTTTCTCTGGTTTCCTCCAGCTTGCTCCTTTCATATCTAATCTGAAACTCCATTATTTCTTCATTTCCATTCTGCAGTTCTCGACTGAAGTGGCTACTGCGGTTACATTCCTGGGTCTTTGTCTGCAGCTGCAGCTGGGATGCCTCCCCCTGTCCTAACAGCAGAGGCTGCACTGTGAGCAGATGCTTCTTACAGTGAGCCAGAACCAAACCACTCCCTGCACTGTCCTTCACACGGGGCACTGCATAGCCAACCAGTAAAGCAGACTGCTAATGGTGGGTCCTGCTCCTCCGCAGGTCCAGTCCAGTTCCCCTGGTTGGCAGCCCTGTGTCTTTCCTCCCAGGCTTCTTTCACTATGCTCTATGTCAGTGTGAGGGAAGGAGTTACTTGTGTTTACAGCTCATGTATGACCCGTGCTGTGTTAGACATGTCATCTCTGGAAAACTCTGGAGCGGAAGTGCTGGGTGATGACATTCAGTTCCTGCCAATTGATCTGAATGATTATGTCAGAGGCCATGGAGAAACCTTGCGAAAGATTTGAGCAGGGGTCAAACACATGCAAGGAATAAACCTAAGGAGGACATGTTTTCATTACGTTGTCAGTTCGGGTTATAGAAGTGTCTGCCATGGTGTCCTCCATAGTCGTTTTACATGTAGTAACATATCAGTTACATATGTTGAGTTCAAAGTTGTGCCTGTTTGCCCTGCCTATTCTCCTAAAAACTGCACTCCATTGTTCTCTTCTTTGCAGAATCTATTGTAAGCATGAGTCAGACCTGTTACTGTATGTGAGACGCTCCTCTTGCTGTTGCTTTCTGAAGACTCAGGAACAATATGCAGGCTGTTAAAATTCACAACTACATTTGCACAGCTAATGTACAGAGATGTGATATTTATTTTTAAACTAAATTCTCATTCTGTCATCCATGTTTTCCATAAAGGACATTACATTTAGTCTTCCATGCTTTTTTTCATGGTTCCAATTCCATTCTCTGAGCCATAGTATTCCAAAAAATGGTAGCTTAAAGCAAAAAATGAATGATGTTCCATTCCACGTTTGTTGAATAAAGAACTGGGACAGAGATCTAGGAGTTGCTACTTGATGACGTGTGTGCTGCATTTTAAGCACTAGTTGGTTTAATCAGTCCACAGGCTGCTGCGAATGGAGGGTCACTATTGTTAAGAACCTGACCAGGTAGCCGGTCGTCTCTTTGCGTCTGACTTGGACTTCCCACCAATGCCCTGGAAATGTTTGGTTTTGTCTGGCTCTCCGAAAAGACATCTCTTAGGGACAACGAGAGGAGATACTAGAGTTCTCAGAACATCGACCCTGTCCATTCTGTCGTTCTAGGAACAGCCTCTATTCAAGCGGAGGGCAGATTTCAACCTCCCAACGGTAGTAAGACTGTGTAGCAATGTTTAATGAATGACAGATTGTTCATCTCCGACCAGACATCATTTGCATTTCTTCTCAAAAAAAAAAAAAGAAAATTTTGCCAGTTTCATAGTCCTCTGAAATGTTTGCTCTTAATAGTATTGGGATAAACCCTCCTAATGCTATCCTGCTTACAGGCGCAGTACTCACTAACCACAGCGTCTCACGGGAAGCTAGTCCCAAGACAGCAGACACTCCCCTATGTGGAACGGTGTCCCCTTCTGCTGGACTCTATCAGGGAGTATCTTTCAGTGAGTTCTCTGTTGGGGACCTGCTCTAGTTCTCTCAGAGAACAGCCTTTTCGTCTTCCCTCTGTCCAGATGTTTGCTGTTTCCTTAGTGATAAGTTGTCCTACTGTAGGCAATCTCATTGTTTATTAAAAAAAAAAAAAAAGAAGAAGAAGAAGAAGTAGAAACTCTGTTTGTTTTTTGTTTTCTCCCTTGTAGATTTTGGAATGTGCTCCATGAGTTACAAAGACACTTTCACTGCATGTCAGTTGCTTTTCCCTGAGAAATAAGTGTTCTATTCCCCAAATGTCTCCAGTCTGCTTTGATTTGAAGATGTACTGGCAACGTCCTCATTGTTACTTAACCCTGTGCCCTTTATTAACAGATATTTTTAGTGTAATCATTCCTTACAGAGTAGATCTTTCCCCTGCACCAAAAGTCTTGAGCATGGCTCCTCCCTCCTCCTAGTGCTGAAAACACCGTGCACTTCAGACACAATCCTCATCTGACCAGAGAGTCTCCAGCCTAAGGATGAGTGTTCATAGTACTAGGAGGTGCTATGGGAGAGACGTGATACCCCAACAGTCGGAGTGCCTGAACACTGACAACATTAATATCCGTGATATCCTGTAGATGAGAATTTCATGCAGTACTACCCCTAAAGATGTATAAAAACCACCCAGTGGTGATGGCTCATGCCTTTAGTCCCAGCACTCGAGAGGCAGAGGTAGGCAGATTTCTGAGTTCAAGGCCAGCCTAGTCTGCAGAGTGAATTCCAGGACAGCCAAGGCTACACAGAAAAACCCTGTTTGGAAAAACAAAGCTAAACAAAACAAAAAACCAAACAAACAAACAAACAAAGTATATGCATCCTGGGTTTCCATTGCTGTGACAAAACATCATGACCAAAAAGCAAGTTGTGTGTGTGGGGGGGAGCAGGGTGTATTAGCTTAAACTTCAGTATTACTGTTTATCACTGAAGGAAGTCAGGACAGGATCCTGGGGGCAGGAGCTGATGCAGAGGCCATGAAGGGGAACTACTTACTGACTTGCTTCCCCTGGCTTGCTCTGCCTCTTTCTTACAGAACACAGGACCAGCAGCCCAGAGATGGCACCACCCACCGAGGGCTGGGCCCTCCCCCCATTGACCTCTAATTGAGAAAATGCCTTACAGCTGGATCTCATGGAGGAATGCCCTCGGCTGAGGCTCCTTCCTCTGATGACTCTGGCTTGTGTCAAGTTGACACACAAAACCGGCCAATACAATATGTGCCAAAAAATTACTGAGAGAGGGGGAACTGGTCTTCCCCAAGGATGAACCCACTCTCTATTCATTCAGTGTGTAGAATACAAGCATATCACACTATTTCACATTATTCTGCTTATAGCATATAGGGTCACCTGCCCATGGCGGGCATCACCCATGGTGGGTTGTGCTGTCTATTGTCAATCACTAATGAAGACAATGCCATAGGCTTCCCTACAGGGCAGTCTTAGGACTCTCAACTATGCTTCTCTCTTCTCAAATGACCCTAGGTAGTATCAAGTTGACAGGAAAACTATTCAGCTCAATGCATCTTGGTATTTATATTATTATTTGTGGTTTTAATTAATTATCATTCACTGGTTTTTGTTGCAGGAAATGCTGTCCTTCTGGGATGTGGCCATTGAGTTCTCTCCAGAAGAGAGGGAATGTCTGGAGCCTGCTCAGTGGAATCTGTACAGGGATGTAATGTTGGAGAACTACAGCAACCTTGAATTCCTGGGTGAGCATCTCATCTATAGTGACTTCTTATTTCACCCTCAACATATAGCTTCCTCGCTTTGTATGTTGTCTCATGGGAGCATTTCAACAGTCAGTTTCATATCCTTCGTTTTCAGAAAAATCAGAGTGGTTAATCCATAGCTCAAAGCTTTCCAGTATTTCCTTGTGTTTGAACTGTCAGTGTTAAACGTGTATTCCATTCAATAATATGTCTACTGGGACTGCTAGAAATTCAATGCCATGAGGTACGGAGCATACTTGTTAATTAAAATATTTCACAACCTAGTTTTAGTTGGGGTGTTCTGTGCTGCATGGGTCAGTTAAAATAAGAGGTCACGCCAAGATGAAAGTTTAAGGCCTGTATGGCAGCAGGAAGGTCCAGCCTGAGATGAACTGAATGCTGAACAGCCGCCATGCAAAGGCATAATTACTTACTCTTACACAATGTTATTTTTTGGCTAAAGTACTTCCTCACACCAAGGTTCCTAATCTAATGTATTTGTCTCTCTAAAGGAAAGCATCAAATGGCCTATGTCTTTAGTCCTTTACTCTATGTCATTTGTAACATGAACTAATCTCAGAGCCTCAGGAGGGCCAGAGGCATCTTGTGACCACAGTCGTGCGAAGGCTGCAGTGTCCCTTCAGGAAGCAAGTGTACAAATCACAGAAAACAATCGCTGTATTCCACAAAGATTCCTTACTGTTCTCCACATTGATTCTCCATGATCAAAGTACGTCTAGAAAGCAAATATTCATTCTAAAGTTTACCCTACAATGAAGTGAAGAGTATCTAATGTCTACCCCAGATATAGTGACTGCAAAATTCCTACAAATTTTAATGTTTTTCCCTTTCAATGAGACTCAGAATCTGGACATTGTACATTCCTTCATGTCCTGTAGTGGTCCTGCGAGGAAACATGTATGGAAATGATTGTCTGTGGTCATTTATTTCATACCTCTTTCCTTATAAAGTGTACTGGAAGGGACTTGTCAGTTCCCAGTTCAAGGACACTCCAACCATCTTGTTCCCTTTCCTACAAACAGGTCTTGTCATCTCTAAGCCACACCTGGTGACATTTCTGGAGCAAACACAAGGACCTGGGGATGGGAAGAGACCAGCAGCAGCCACCGTGCACCCAGGTGTGTAGGATTGAGGGGTTCAGGGGCAAAAAAGTAGGTTTTCCCATGTGCGTTGATAGGAGGTGTTGTTGTGGAGATAATCTCTCCATCACGTCTTTGTTATCAAAGGAAGATGTCTCAGACATTCATGATGGTTTAGTTCTCCTAAGCTTTGTAATTCCCCCATCGTGAGCTGTGTATGTTTTTCTGCAAATCTCCAAGGGTTTTTTATTTTTTTTTATTTTTTTTTAAATATTTATTCATTTATTATGCATTCAATATCTGCCTACACGTGTGCCTGCAGGCCAGAGAGGGCACCAGATCTCATTACAGATGGTTGTGAGCCACCATATGGTTGCTGGGAATTGAACTCAAGACCTTTGGAAGAGCAGGCAATGCTCTTAACCACTGAGCCATCTCTCCAGCCCCCGGTTTTTTTTATTTTTTAATTCTACATTGTAATGAAGACTCAGGGAAATGCTGTTCTATGCAGAAGACTCATGTATTTGCTGGGCTTGTGAGCAGACTCATGCCAGAAAGATGTCTACACCAAAGTGAGCATGATTGGGTTTTTAAAGTCAAACCCACAATTCCATCACACAGAGGCAGACAGCGACAGAGGCTGAACAGTATCAGTTCTGTTGATTAGAACACTTTGGGGGTGCGGAGCAATTGGATAAAACTCAGACAAGCAGGAGTCAGTTTGGACAGTCCATTCCCTGCTTAACTTTGACATCATGTACAGAGGACTGTATAATCGAAGGCTGTATAAATTTTTCTCTCCCTCTAATATTTTCTCTGTACATGAATTACATTTGTACTGGCCATGACTATAAACACAATTTTGGGAAGACTAAGTATATTTAATCTCTCAGTAGGTGACTCAATAACTCTTAGGTCTCAATCGTCTTTGTTCTAACATCTTACTGTAAATTAGTGACTCTTATCAGATTAGGATATGCTAAATGGAAATAACTTATCTGTTAAAAATTTCAGCCCTAGAATTTCCAGTTGCTGAACTGAAGCTGTCTTATACTGAAATAAACCTTAAATATAAATACAGTCTGTGGAGGCACTGGGAACTCCACTCTCCCCAGCTCTCTGTATTGTCGCTGCACAAAAGCTCAATCAGTCCCCCTGACCTACATTCAGTAGCTTGATAAATCAGAAAGAAGACAGTCAGAGGAGACGAGGAAGCCTGGCCTTTTTAAGGGAAACCTGTAAGAATAAAAAGATGTACAATTAGTTGTTCTTGTCGTGACTCAGTTTCTCTAAGTGGGTGCAGTTTAACAAAGTTAGCAAAGACATAAGTGACTAGATAGTATTCTTTAATTCAGTGTTTTTCTTCAATATGAATACAACTTTATAACCTTAGGGATGATAATAAATTTCGATCATTAAGTATATTATCTTTAAGTCTCCTCTCCATAACTGTCTTACATAGACAGGCCTAAAGTGACTTCCTTCAAGCTTTAAAGGTTTTGCCTTTTATTTATATAATTAATCTAAGTAATTTAACCCGTTTATCAGAGATAGAACCTCAGCTATATCTTTGGTATCTTTTTAAATGATTTCACTGATCCACGCAGAGGAACTTAGTGTGCCAGCAAGAGGTTTAGAGTCAATAGACTTGGGTGAGAACAACTTTTGTAGAACCGAGAGAGGAAAGATAGAACAGGAATTCCATCTGTAACCGAGTACAGAATCCATTGAGACACATCACTCCCTTGGGCCCAGGCATCTGATTCTTTACATATACTCCCTTGATTAGGCAATTTCAAATGAGATATCATAAGTTTAACAAGTAAATTTACCCTTTGATTTAAGAAAATATCCCAAAGGGGAGGTTGTTAGTATCTATTTGTATGTTGTCTGTTAGTCAGTACATATAACAGCTTTATGTATAACAGTACATATAACAGTATACATCACATCACTGCAGAGGTCCATCCAGCTACCCAGCTTTAGTTTTTCTGGCCTGTACACCCTAGCATCTCTAGGAAACCTTGAAACCCCGTGCAATTGAGTTCCAGTTCCATGCAGCAGGGAGGTGAGGGCTCAATGTTGTCCATCTCCTCTGTTTTTGAAGGGATATTAACATTTAACAAGCCCGGCTGTGGTTGCCGTCAGCAGGCACAGCTAGAGTTATGAAGATGGTGTTCAGCTTAGAGGATACTGTGCAACATCCATTAAATTAAAAAGGTTGAATCCGAACTGCACAGCGAGGGTCATGTGACGCATTAATATTACCTGTGCGCATACTGTTAAAGTGTTATGCCATGGAAGTTTCCAGGTCAGCCTTATAGTAAACATAACACGGTTGTCTTTATGATTTAGATAGTATGTAGACTGATTTAGTTGATGTTAACAGCATCTAACAGAATTCAGCTGACTATGATTTTGGCATTATTATTGATTGCATTTAGACAGAGGGTCTCTTTTATCCTTTTTAATAATGAGCTGCCCATTGGTTGTTTCTACTCTACATTTCTTTCTCTCGTGAGGTAATTAATAGTAGCCTCCCTCGGAAGAAGTTCACCTCTTAGCTCTTCTTTTCCCGAGCGGTCCTGCTGTTCTCCTTCTGCCTGTCATGGAGTCAGGGAGCCAGCCTGACCAAGAAATAGGGCATTGGGGAAAAAATTGAAGAGAAATGTGCTTGGGTTTGAAGTGGTTGGGGAATATCTTTTTACCAGAGCCAGCTTTTCAGTGAGCTAAAACAGTATTTAACAATTTATAAAACTATTATCTGTATTTAAATGACATTTGTTTCTCAATAAGACTGAACATAGTAATTTAGATATCCATGTGTCTCTAGATGTAAGCAGACAACATGAATAGTTTTATATGTTTTGCCTTTTATAAAGATTTCAGTATTTAGGATAATATACTCATTCTCGTTAGACAGGGACATGCTGACTTCTTTGTGGGTCAACCGCTAATCATTAAATACATAAGTACCTGCAGCCTAGAGACATTTAAACAGAAAACCATAAACTAGACATTGAAGCAACTCAGAAAGTTCTGGAAGCAAAAGTAAGAGTATCTAGGCTTGGTGGAGCCGAGACAAAGGCTGAGCTCAACCACAGGGCTAAGGAGTCCCAAGAGCAGATAGAATGTGTATCTTAGAGGAAGCAGGCTTGCAGACCCAGTAGAAAGGAACCAACTCAGATTGTATCTTCTGTCTTCTGCACAAGCAGCATGGGACTCCAACACATAGAAAGCCTGGCTGCACCATCTTTTCCACACACCGAGCTAGAGTCCAAGACCTACGTGTGCTCTCTTGGCTCCTTGCTCTCTCTGTGGTGGCTCCACTCCTGTCTACCCTGCAGGCTCTGGTCTGGTGACTACCACAGTGACCTGTGTTCCACAGTAGAGGACGTACTGCCCCTATGTGGACCATCTCGCACATCACTGTATCAGAGAGATCCTATAGCTCGGTCCTCCCCAGGCAGAGTATTCCTTTAAGGGAATGTGACTGGGAATTGATGAGGCTTGGGTTCTTTACAAGACCTTAATGTTTTGTGTTGTGAAACAGTGGATCTTCCACAGCTGCTGGGGAGGCTGCCTGAGAACATTTTCTTAGCAGGATTGTTTAGTTGGTGGAGCATTTGGGTCACATTCAGGAAAAATTGAGTCCCTTTGGGAATTTCAGTAACAGACTTTGTACTATTTTCTACACATCAGAAAAAAATGCACACCTTTCTAAATGTCTAGGTGTGAAACCATTGTAAAAAACTAAGTTCACATATTTCTTTCAAGTCACTTACACTCATGTTGAGGAAAGTGACTCCCATCAGAGTTCTTAGTCTTTGATGAAGATATTTTCTAGATTGTTCTTTATCATACACTCAGTAATAAGGATTTAGAATGTATGCCCTTTGTAGAAATATATTCTAAGATTAAAATTGTCTGTAGCTAGGAGAATCTAAGCTTTCAAACTTTTGTGGGTTCAAAATTTTTCTTTACTTTGCAGTTTTTTTTTGTATTATTTTGGAGGTGTGTATAGCCTAATATCATTTGTTATACATTCCCTATATATTTCAGTGGATGGATAAAACACATTGATAAAGTACAGGGTAAAGGACATTGTAGGGTTATAGAATAGCCATGAGCTCTGCTTTGTGAATTTCTACTTCATGGGTAAACAGTCTCCTGTTTTCATACGCTGTTCATTGTCTCTCTCGCTTAGGGCCTAATGTCTGTTCATTCTTGTAAATGAATAAATCTTACAAATACATAAATTTTTTGCTTGGGCATGGTAGTCTACTCCACTGGTCCCAACACTTGGAGCCAGAGGAAGGTGGATCTCTGAGTTTGAGCCAGCCTGGTTTAGAAAATCAGTTCCAGGATAACAAGATCTACACAGAGAAACCTTGTGTTGAAAAAGCAAATTTAAACAAAAGAGGAAATAGTTCATTTTTTTTCATCTATTAGTTGACAAATATATTGTCTCAGCAAAACTACTCTAATTCACAGATGAACCTGAAGCTTTTTTTATCATGACTTGATATGTTTCAGATATATATTTTCCTGTCCTCCAAATAAAACATAAAATCTTGTCCTGAATTTTGAGCTATATTATCTCATCTTGTTGTGGACTGTGGTGCCTGCGCCACCTGGAACCACAGCTGACAGGGGCCTGGGGATTAAAGAACGCCGGCAGCACGGGTCACTCATGAAGCAAGAACGCCAGTTTTATTGTGTTCCAAGGCAGCTTACGTAGTGCTCTCCTTGACCAGTAGCCACGCCCTAGCTCTCAGGATTTTCAGCTGCAAGCCCACCAGAAACCACGTCCTTGTTATCAGGAACTCATGAGGGTTCTGTGCTCAGAGCAGCTGCAAGCATAGGAAAACAAGATGTTTACCTCCAACAGGCAAAAAGGTCATAGAAAGTTCAGGGTCTGTGGGTCTGCAGCTCCCAACAGTGGACTTTTTGTAGAGCATATCCTTTATGCCTTTCAAAATAAAACTCTATGTGGATGATAAAGATTTTGTATTTTGATGATGACTCAGAATCACACAATCACAATTAACTTTGTTTAAGGCTTGACTACTTTATAATTTCATAAACAGATAATATCTCTATTGTTTAATAGGCTTATTTCTGCTCTTACAACTGAGTTAGCTATTATACCTATGCTCTATTTTGTTGTGCCTGTTATTCTACTATGAGTATAAATTATTTCTAGCTACAATATTTTATCCTTCATCCTCAGTGCCTGTTGGTTTGAAATATACTGTAGTTTGTCACTGATGTTTCAATATGTAGTAATAAATCTCTCCACGTAAAAGTATTGTAAGTATGATGAATATTTCCTAGCTTTTCTTCATATCTCAACTTTGCTTAACAGGAACAACATCCAATGTTGATTATAACTCACTACATAGTCAATGCCAGAGAATTCATCCAAGGGAGAAACCCTACAAGTGTGAAGAATGTGGTAAGGCCCTTAGTTCTTATAAAACACTTTCAATTCATCAGAGACTTCACACTGGAGGAAAACCCTACGTGTGTAAAGAATGTCACAAGGCCTTCAATACTCGCTCATCACTTTTTATACACCAGAAAAATCATACTGCTGAGAAACCCTACAAGTGTGTAGACTGTGGCAGATCATTTTACTATCTTTCGATGCTGAAACAACATCAAAGGATTCATTCTGGAGAGAGACCCTACAAGTGTGAAGAATGTGGCAAATCTTTTTGCTATCCCTCATTCCTTAAGCAACATCAAAGAACTCATTGTGGAGAAAATCCCTACAAATGTGAAGATTGTGGAAGAAGTTTTTCTTGTTCTCTACGACTTCAGGTGCATCAAATAATTCATTCTGGAGAGAAAACATACAAGTGTGAAGAATGTCACAAAGCTTTTCGTTATCACTCATCCTTTTGGAGACACATGAGAGTTCATATTGCAGAGAAGTCATACCAGTGTGAACTGAGTGGAAAAGAATTTACTAAGCCTGCCTTTCTCTTTGGGAACAAGGCAGCTCACACTGCAAAGAAAGCCTACAAGTGTGAAGAGTGTGGCAAGTATTTTTGTTCAACTTCATCCCTTAGACGACATCAAACAATCCATTCTGAAGACAATCCCTACAAGTGTGCAGAGTGTGGCAAAAGGTTTTCCTACTTTGCACACCTGCAAGAACATCAGACAGTTCATACTGGAGAGAAACCATACAAGTGTGAGGAGTGTGGTAAATGTTTTTCCTCATCTTCATCCCTTAGACGACATCAAACAATCCATTCTGAAGACAGTCCCTATAAGTGTGTAGAATGTGGCAAATGGTTTTCCTGTTCCAGGAGTCTTCGGGAACATCATGCAATTCATACTGGAGAGAAACCATACAAGTGTGAAGAATGTCACAAAACCTTTCGTAAATACTCAACCTTTTGGAAACACAAGAGAGTTCATGCTGCAGAGAAATCCTACGAATGTAAAAAGTGTGGGAGCTGTTTTTTCTCATCTTCAACCCTCAGACGGCATCAGGCAGTTCACTCAGAAGACTATCCCTACAAGTGTGAAGAGTGTGGCAGCTGTTTTTACTCATCCTTGTTCTTCAGACGCCATCAAATAATCCATTCTGAAGACAGTCCTTATAAATGCGTAGAATGTGGAAAACGCTTTTCCTGTTCCAGGAGTCTTCGGGGACATCAAGCAATTCACACTGGAGAGAAACCTTACAAGTGTGAACAGTGCCATGAAGCCTTTCGTAATAGCTCATCCCTTTGGAGACACAAGAAAGTTCATACTGCAGAGAAATCATAGCATTGTGAAGAGTGTGGCAAATGTTTTTCTTCCTCTTCATGCCTTAGATGACATCAAACACTCCATTCTGAAGATAACCCCTCCAAGTACGCTGAGTGTGGAAATGCTTTTCTACTTTGCACACCTTGAAGAACTTCAGACAGCACACTGGAGAGAAACCATCAAGGGTGAAGAGCTGGTAAATGATTTTACTCTTCTTCATCCCTTAGGCAACAGAGAGAGAGAGAGAGAAAGAGAGAGAGAGAGAGAGAGAGAGAGAGAGAGAGAGAATTTATTCTGAACACAGTCTCCAAAAGTATGGGGAATGTGGCAAAGACTGTTAATCTTTATAAGCTTATTGGACACATGATAGTTCATACTGGAGAGAAATCCTACAAATGCCTTAAAAGTTTACCCTTCTTCAACCCATAAAATACATAAAATGAATCATTCTGACTAGAAATTCTGTGAGTACCTGGAGAAACAAGGGTGGAAAGAGGAGTCATGAGGAGAGGCCAGCCAGTCAGCAAGGAAGCAGGATGTGTAGAAAATGAGATAATAAGCCATGAGCCACGTGACAAAGCATAGATAAGGAATATGGGTTGATTTAAAAATAAGAGTTCTGGGAGACTGTCTCCTAATTCCCAGTTCTGGGAGACCTGGAACGGGTGTGTAAAGTCGGCTCAGTGACAAAACTCTGACCATCTGTTTCAAACAAGTGGCCCAGATAGCCTGAGCCATTTTTATTTTTACAGTTTCAATAGTTTGCCTAAACATTTTTCCAATCTTATTTATTCTCTTAAGTTTCTAATTTCTTACAATAGCTGCCAACTTTTCCCTCATCTCATTCCCTAATAATAACAATAACTGCCAACATATTCCCTCACCTCATTCCCTTTCCGGCCCCAACCTTCCCACTGCTAATCATTACCTATTTGACTCATAGCTTTAATATTAGAAGCACAAGCAATCTAGCAAACAACAGAGGAAGTTTTCTGACTAGGCACACCTACAGGTAGAACAGTGTGTTTCACGGGCTGCATTGGTGGTTACAGAAAGAGAATTTTGCCCCTAGCGGTTAATGTTTCACTCCAGTCAAATCTGTACTCATCATAGTCAACTCATCAGCCGAGGCTGGACCACTTCATTCTGTACTCTAACATCTCCTCTAGGGAATATACCAGGAGTTCCCACCATCGTGTAAGCTACATAACTAAAAGCTTACTCTTTCTAGCTGGCCCTGCTTACCTCTTGTTCCCATGTGTTTCTCCTCCCAGCTTTCTACAGCATTGGCACAGCTGTTAAGGACGAGGGCATTGTGGGCTTCTGTAATTATGCTTCATTCCCAGACTGTTCCACTAACCCTTGATATCATCTATTTATTAGCATCTCTCTAAGATCCTTGTGGTTAAAATCATTCTATCTAGAACAGTTATGCAAATTTGTAATATTGTCCTGAACTTCTGTGACTGTTTCAGGATAGTCACAAGGTGCATTTAACATCCTGTTCTTAAGAAGCCTGAATTCGTGGTCACACCTGAAACATCAAAGACTTTAGGGGCTAACTCAAATGCACTCTGTCTTTTTAACAACATCCCTTCTGGTTCACCCAGAGGAAAGTCTTCAGCGGGGAGGTTTTCCTTTTGTAAATAGCCATTTCATCCATAGCTCTAAGAAAATGAAACTCAAATTAACCAGCAATAATTTGTATAAGGGAAGCAAGAAGAGTGCTCCTGAGGTCCTGCCCAGAATTGTGCAGCAAACTAGCCATGGGCCTTGCCAAAAATGGGTTAGATTCTCCAGGGCCTTGCAACAAGGAGAGTTTGTTCAGGCTCTTCTCAGGAACCCCCAAGAAATCCACATGGCTCCCATCATCTTTTTTGTTTTTAAATTGAAGTTCATGAACATCACGAAGGACTATGAGAAAGGCAAGTCTTAATTTATATAGAGGGCTGGAAAGAGAATGATTAAAATAAAAAATAAACCAAGTGCAACAACCAAATTAATGATAAATGTCCAAAAATGTTTTATAGTTAAAAAGAGGTAATTGAATTTAAAAAATGAGATGCTTTCTTTTCGGCAGAAGACATCTAAAGATGTCGTTGTAATTTGTTCATGGAGAGAATGAATATTCATATCTCCATTAGAACTGTTCCATATTCTTCTAATATCAGCCTGAATTTGTTCCCATGGATAATTAGAACCGTTGTAAGACAATGGTGTAACACAAATCCATTTATAATTTGTATGACAAGCTGCAGTAAGTCTAACTTTAATATTTTGAATCTGTGTACCTATGTATAAAACTGCCTCCTCCAATGTTTTAACCCTATTGACCAGGCCCTTATCAATAGATTATTGAGTAAAGAGAGTATCAGAAACATTTTTAGACAATGTATTAATATGATCAGCCATATGTACTGTACAATGGCCATAGTAGAGGCAGTTATAGTTCCAATAATAGAAAATAAGGCAGAAATACTCAAAGACTGAAATAAAGCATTTAGGATGGAAAAGCAGATTAGGAATAATTTCCATAGCATATATACCCAAATTATTATACCAAGGTCAAAGGTTAACAAGAAAAAGAATATAGGGAAGTTGGTGGACAAATAAAATAGTACCTAGGGACATAGTTAGATTGATACAGTTAGTAATAAAGCAGTTAAGACAAAAAATTGGTAAGAAGTGTCATATTTTGAAACTGAAAGTGAGCCATGAACACCTTCAACAAGGATTACAAAAGGTGTGTAAGCCAGAATAAATAGGAGGTCTGTAAAGGTCTTTTAATAAAAGTATAGTTAGTAGCCGCAAAGAGTTTATATAAATGTCTTTGAAGATAGAATCAACATGAGGGCTTAAACATGAGAATGACCCATCCTGGGAAAACCAATGATCCATAGGAGTTGGTTTTAAAATAAGATCGTCCTACCAAGAAAAAGAGGGATGTGAAATAAAATAATTTTTTTGAAGTTGGATATTTATTCAGTGGGTTATGGAGGGAAAAGGAAGAAGGAGAGGAGAGGAGAGAGAGAGAGAAACAGAAGGGGGAGGGGAGAAATGGGGAGAATGGAGTGAGGCAGGAGTGTGAAGTAAAATAATTTCTATAATCAATACCTGGATTGGAAAATGACCAATCATAATTCTTTTTATTTGTGTCCTTTATAGTATAAATGACTCCTTTATTCGGGAAAATGCAAGACAGGGTACCATGTGATAGGACTAATATTTTCCCAAGTGTGATTGTATTTAGCATTATTTAAACAGGAGGGCATGATGATAGGAGACTTTTGATGCATATAACTTGGCGCAAAAAAAAAAAAAAAAGTATCGTAACACAAAGGATGGATTAGGGGCAGAGTGGAAACTCCAGAGGTAGTCCAGTTATAGCCCAGCAGGAGTTCATGGCTAGCAAGGGTTACTTGCTAACCCTCTGGCGCCAGGCCGCCATGACATTATGCTACAAACTTTTCTTTGGTAGTAGCCAAAACTGTTAGAAGGAGCCTATCTGCTGCAGACACAAAGCTCAGTGTCCCAAAATGATGATTGTCCCTAGATCTGCCACACCTAGGGGAATCGGCTAACAAAGCCCTACAGGAAAGACTAATACATCCGAAGGGAGGAGAAATTCCCGCAGGGGAGAAACGAAGAGACAACCTGTTTGCATAGCCCATACAACTTCAAATGTCAGAAACCCTATGATATACAAAGGCATCTGAGTCACCCCCATCAACTTGGAGTCATTCACCACAACTTTAACTTCCTCATAATCCCAAACGGCAGGATGGAACAAAGGTGGCTCAGGGACATAGGTCCAATGCTGCTCCTGAGCCTAGCATAATGCTACAAGAGAAAATAATACCTGAATACTAAGCAAAGTCATCATAGGAGAAAAGAAATTGAGGAGAGGGTTACTTCTGAATCATTTCTTCAGCATGCGATGTAAGTGCCTTGATTTGCCCCCAAGTTGGCAAAGAAACCTTCCAAGTTGCCTTAGCATGTCACACCGACTGCAAACTGAGTTGTGGAAGCCAAGATAGATGGAAGTGGGCCAACAGCTTCAGATTAACACGATCCCGCCCGTGATCAATGGCAGTAGCCGAGGGCATGGTTAGGACTGCAGCAGAGGTGTGTGCCATCTTTGGATCAAGGGGCAGCGGTGAAGTTGGAGAACCCTACATATGGCTGAATCAAACAGTCTGGAACCCAGAGTGGTGTATCAGCATCCTGTGGAAAGATACAAGCACCCCCTCTTCTGGAAGTCAAAAGACCATCCAGTCCCTTCTATTTTTTTTTTTTGGCAGATTTTTCCCTTTTACCATAGTTTTGTGTGTGTGTGTGTGTGTGTGTGTGTGTGTATTTGATAATCAGGGTATTTCTAGGAAGCAGAAATGCCTTCTGAGTCTAAATTAAGATAATTAAGTACAAAGAGCATGGTTTAGAATGTAAAAGGGGGAGGAATAGTTATACTCTCCCTGTTGAAGCTTGTGAAATTGGGAGTGGGCAGGGATGTGGTCCACAAGAAAGCGAAATTCTGTGCTCGCATTGAGGACTGTAATGCCCGCAGCAAAGAGAAAATCGCGGTCTGTGAAGCAGGAAGCAGAGCAGTTTCAGTGTGAGGAGATAAGCAGGCACTATCACAGGAGCCAGTGGAAAGAGTAGACGTTTGATTAAGCAAAATTGCTAACACCTTCGAACCAGCCCCTAACCCCACTTTCTGAGCAGAACGTTCGTTAGTTTGAAAAGAAGTTGACCCCTCATCAATCAGATGCAGCAGCTCCATGAGAAGGGCCATCCGTAAGCACTACGGAGCCAGTGAATTAAAGGTTCTATTTTACAAACTTTTGGAAAAAGAAAAGGGTGCATCTTTAAGAACCATAAAATTGGGTGAACTGGCCATTGTGCCAATCTGTCAGATGTCTGAGTCAGTTGACAACGTAGTCAGCTGGCTCGCAGTGAGGGTGTTATCTCAAAGATATCTTTGCCAAAAGGCTCTTTGCTACTTTTACTATTTTTCCCAGTAAGATGGAATTTTGCATAAAGAAGAGCAGTTCATTTGATAGTAGCTGGCGGATGAATCCATTCTAAAGGTCCTTCTTGCTATACTCGGTAGTTGCTTGATTTCTTTAAGAATTTATGCAAGGAAGTGGTTCTCATTTGGATTGTCATCATTTCCCAAATCACAAATTACTTGAAAACAGGAGAGAAAATCCCTAGCTTATTGTGCCTGTTTTAATGTTTCCTTGAATCCCATATCAACAGAAGATAGGGAAGATTTGTACATTACTTGAGAAAATACTTCCTTAGTCCTCAAGGGAGCTGAAGGTGCTTGGGCAGTTCTAAAAATATTAGCAGTAGTTGGACTCACCAAGATAAGATAGATAATGGAGTATTTTCTCTGAATTTGTCAAATGCTAATGGATTCACATTGTTAATGTAATTACTGCATATATATATATATTTGTGTATAGTTATTGTACTTGTTGTATATAGTTTTTCTATGTTAAATAAAACCTTTGTGTTTTGTTTAGACGAAAATGGAAAAATGTTCTATATATTGTTTGTGTCCTGACAAATAAAGCTCACCTTGATATCAGAGGGTTGAGCTAGCCACTATTTAACCATAGAGGCCAGGCAGTGGTACATACACCTTTGATCCCATCACCTAAGATCTTATGCCTTTGATCCTAACACATGGGAGACTCATGCCTTTGATCTCAGTACTTGAGAGGCACATGCCTTTAATCCCAGCACTAGGGAGGTGGTGACAGGAATATAAGGCCTGTGGTGGTGTGGGAAGTCCTTCTGTATATGTGTTGCTTTTTTAGGTAATGAATAAAGAAGCTGCTTTGGCCCATGATAGGGCAGAATAGAGCTAGGTGGGAAAACTAAACAGAATGCTTTGAGAAAGTTGGATGAGTCATTGAGATGCTATGTAGCCACCAAAGGGGAAAGACACGAGCCAGCAGCAAGAATCTTGCTGATAGGCCACAAGCCTCATAGTAAAATAGAAAATAATAGAAATGGGTTAATTTAAAATGTAAGAGCTTGCTAGGAATACACTAGAGTCATTGGCCAAGCAGTGTTGTAATTAATAGGGTTTCTGTTTGAATATTTCAGGCCAGGGTGGCTGGGAATGAATGAACAACCTCCAACTACACAGTGAAGACAGGATCTTAGGCCCATTCATTCTGAGATTTCACAGAGACAGGACCATCCCACACCCACACCTCCTATTTCAGTCTTAAAATTTGGTGAGACAGGATTCCCCCATTCAGTGTGAGGATTCGTAGAGACAAGATCACCCCCTTTCGGTCTGGGGATTCAGAGGTAAGAAATGTGGCCGCTCTTTTGCCTCTCTGATCTTTCAGCTTTTGCCCAGGTTTTTCTTGATAGGATCACGTTTCACACTATGACAAGTTTGGGGAGAAAAGGCTTTCATTGGCAGAGGGTCCCACAACGCTTTTCATCATCGAAGGGAGTCAGAACAGGAGTTCAAACTGGGTGGGAACTTGGAGGCCAGAAGTGCAGAGAGCCGGGGTACTGCGAACTGGTTTGTTCTCTGGGGGTGCTCGGACGGCTTTCTTACGGCATGCCATCCCACGTCAGTCATTAAGAAGTTGCCCTGTACTCATGTCTACAGCCAGATCTTACGGAAACATTCTCCCAGTTGAGGTTCCCATCTCTTAAATGACTGTAGCCTGCTTCAGGTTGACATAAAACTAGCCATCATGGCTTTTAACAAGACTGGCCATGACAGCTGGCTGGACCGACCTCTGAATGAAAAGTTTACTAACCCTGGCCTAATGTCAGGCCCTGTATAATTAACTGGTTGTTAAATTTTGACAATTGAAAGATAGCCTGAGTAGAAATGGTTTCAAGGGCAAGAAACTACACCTTCATTAAAATCGAAGATTTTTAAAGTAAATAAGGCAAATAGGGAATCAAATGGCTTAGGAGAGGCTAGGTCAGTTTGACACTACACCTCCTCCACTCTGGAAACTCTTCATTCAAGTAAATTGCATCTCCTTTGTTCATAAAAAGGATTCTTCAGCACTGGAAGAGGACCTCAATCGGCAATTCTCAGCCTGTGGGTTGGGACCCTTTGGCTAACCTCTATCCAAAAATATTTACATTACAATTTATAACAGTAGCAAAGTTACAATTATGAAGTAGCAATGAAAATAATTTTTATGGATGGGGTCATCACAACCTGAGGAACTGTACTAACAGGCCACAGCATTGGGAAGGTTGAGAACCACTGACCCAGATAAGTACAAACAGTCCCTCTTGAGAAATGCCCTTCTTTAGTGTTTTACAAGTCGAACGGTCCCTCCTTCTGTGATACTGAAGGATATAGTGTAAGAAACAAAACCTCAGTCTACACCTTGTGTGATGTGAGTATTCCTTTTCACCTTTCAAAACCCTACCTTTCTCACTGACCTAAGAGCCTTTCTGAGGTGAGAGACTACTCTTGGTACTGTAGTCTTACGTGGTTTAATAATCACAGTGACTTGTAACTTTCTCACAAGGGTTATTTCATTTGCAAGTTCTGAGGGAAAAGTAGAATTCTTATTTTAAGAACTGTGGGCTGTCAGATTAGGTGGCACCAACATAAAAGATCCATCTGGCTAACATTCATAGTAGAGCACAGTCTAGGCGTGCTACTGTGGGAGGAACAGTCTCACCCAGCCATGAACCCAGGGAGCAGAATAAATGCTCTGGCAGGTTGTGTCCATAGAGTAATAATGGCGGGAAAGGTGTGGAAGTAACCACCATTTTCTGATTGGCTTCAAAGCTCATTCCACAAATGGTAACTGATGTGATGTTATTTTGGTGATAAACTTGTGCCTGATTAGGTTATAAGCCCTAGGGAGAATTTAATGCCGTTATTCTAATGAGTGGACAGTAACTAAATGAACCCAAGTTCTCATCTTTATACCCGTAAAGTGAGGCACCTCTCCACACCCCCCTGGAAAGACTGTGTGGTAGGTAGAGAATAACTCACAGACTCACAGTTGGTCAGGGTGCAGAGAACAATAGCCTGTGGGGGGCCCTAATCTAAAAGTGACACCTACATCCATCACACATTGTAAGGTGTGTAAGCTCCCTTACACACTTCTAACTCCAAAAGTCAGGGATGCATAAGGGAGAAGAGGTGGAAAGAACGTCCGAGTCAGATATAGTGAGTGTCTGCTAGAAATGTCAGTGCCATCTCATGCATGGACATGCTGTGGCTAATACTACCTGGACAACCCTATGCAGGCTAAACCCAGCCTTGCAACAAGCATGGCTGCATAAGGGCCTCGTTATGTCTCACCCTGAGTGGAGGGGCAATGGCTCCTGAGGGAAACAGTCCATCTGAGAGTCTTCCAGGGTCCGGTTGGCTGTCCTACACCCCACACATGGAGGGGGCACTAAGTGCAATGAAGAAACCAAGAAAGAAGAAGCTCACAAAGTTGGTAAGTCACGTAGTTTTTTGTTTTTATTTTGGTTTTTGGTTTTTTCGAGACAGGGTTTCTCTGTAGCCTTGTTGCTTGTCCTGGAACTAGCTTTTGTAGACCAGGCTGGCCTCAAACTCAGAGATCCGCTTGCCTCTGCCTCCTGAGTGCTGGGATTAAGGGCGTGCACCGTTTTAAGGGTAAGAAATAATAGGTTAAGGGATGTGGAGATTTGAGTAAGACATGTAATATACACTACAGACCGAGAGGCCAGCTGCCAGATTTGCTCAAGGGTAGTAAATATTCCTCAGAGTAGCAAGGGCTTAGGAAAACTTTCTTGTGTCTCTAAAAAGGTCTTTAGGAAGGAACCCAGTCTCATATGATCTGAAGATAATTTTCTTTATTACTGCAACCTGGAAATACTCTCACCCAGGATGAAAAACTCTAGCTTATATAAGAGCTGCATATATTTCTTAAATAAACAGCGGAGGAAGTGCCATTCTATAAACACATAAGAAATCGCATTTATTTTTTTTCTTTCAGGCTTGAAAAAGTCAAACTGATCATAGCCAGGGCAATGTTTGGGTGTCAGCCAGATACCCTGAGTTTAGTATGTAAAGCAGGCAGGAAAGCACAAGGTGAGAGACATGGACCTGGAAGCATCCTGAATCTTAAGAAACATTCTTCCCCTCAATGCACCTGGAAGCATCCTGAATCTTAAGAAAGATTCTTCCATTCTATGGACCTGAAAGCATCCCAAATCTTAAGAAACATTCTTCCACTCTGCATAAACACTTAGCTAAACCTTAAATTTTATAACATAAAAATGGGTTAGGAATATGTGCAGAAAGTCAGTTACTGAGACAGGGAGTTGTGTCTTATGTGCCAGACAATTTGCAAGCGAGAAACTGGGACTGCAGTTGTTGCTTGCCTGACCTTGTTAGCCACGCGAAAACTTGTGCTTGAACACTTCCTCTCCAGGGCATCTAGCCTATTTTAAATTTGCTGAGGTCTTAGCTAAAGGCCTGGCTATGAAAATCTATTTTATTAACCGAAATTACACAGTATAAGAAGTCATCCTTCTGACAAATCACAGACTACACACAGAAAGTGTAAAACACCTCACCAAAAGGCTGTGGGAAGAACCCCACAGCTGCTCTTTTTAGGGAGGTAAAGTGGTAGCACGTGAGGAAGTTGTAGACGCAAAACAGCTGATCCCCACAGCCAGTGACCCCACGGACTTCACCTAGCAGGGCTCATCAACAGAGAATTATTCACCCAGTAGGTCAGCCTGCTGAACACTGTCACCTGCTCTATATTCTTCACTGGC